AGGTTTAGCGTTTACAGCATGCTTTTTCTCTGGGCTGGTGTCGTGCTGGGATGACGTCAGCTACGCGGTTTCGTCGAGCGCCCTTTAGTCGAATGCGGTTTTGTGGTGGAACCGACTAGGGCAAAACACCATTGCGACAATAACAAGAGAAACATTAATATTGTTATTTTTCACTGATATGCCATTTTCAGTAATAAAATATGTCCTAGTGGTTCACAATAACTTCAATTGTTGAATTAGTTGTTTTTAAAATAAAAAATCCCCACAGATTCAAATAAAGCTGAAATCAGCTATTCAGAAACACAGAATGTAATAAGTAAATTAACAAATAAATAAAGATGGAAATAATCCAAGTACTCACACTGCAAGTGCTGTTCTTATTGCCATGCAAAGGAGCCTTATTCAAGTACAGCTTTGGGGAAGGGAGAGAATCTTCCTACAAGACTCAATGGTTGGCACCTGATGCTCTTGCCTGGATGCTTTGTACTGCAGTTCCATTTATCCTGGGAATCCTGATCCAAATCCTGCATTCCAATCAGCACTCCTATCTCTAGCAATTTGTCCAATGTAAATGCACCTCCAAATGAAGTAGGTAATGGTTGATGCTCCAACCCAGATGTCATCTGCCTGTTTGTGGAAGCAAGACTTTTGTTTCTCTTGCACACTTTCCTTCACCTATGTCAGCACCACACGTATTAACCCCCCCCACACACAAAGTTCTCTTATGTTGTGAGTTGAGGTTAGTTCTCCACAAATCCAACCCAGCTGTGGTTCCTGAGTCAGAAATACACAGGAAGCCACCCTTCCTTTTCTTTCTGCAACATATCCTTAATTCTGCTGTGCTTCCAGAAGGGCTTCATTCCCAGATGTTTCCCCAGTAAATCAGAGAAAGTTTAAGACAGGGAGATCGTTTTGTGCAGGGGGTCCAGGTGCAATTTTTATCCAACACCCAGAGCGCCACTGCAAGAAAACCTTGCAGATAACTTTGAGAGACACCCAGCAACTTCCCCTATGTCTCTTCCCCACCCTATGGATCAAATACAGCTTACACGTGGATCAAACACATGCTCCGTGATTCTGTTTTAACATCGTTTCTCTCTACCAGACCTTTTTTCCCTACTATTATCTCAGCTTGAATTTTTTTTTAAAAGCAGTCTTTTGGGGAGTTAACTGAACTCTATAGTAAAATTAGTACAGTATAGTCAAAGCTATGGTTTTCCCAGTTGCTGTGAAAGTTGGACCATAAGAAAGGCTGAGCCCCAAAGAATTGAGGCTTTTGAACTATGGTGCTGGAGACGACTCCTGCGAGTCCCTTGGACTGCAAGGTGATCAAACCAGTCAGTCCTAGAAAAGATCAACCCTGACTGCTCTTTAGAAGACTAGATGCTGAAGATGAAACTCAAATACTTTGGCCACCAAATGAGAAGGAAGGAGTCACTGGAGAAGAGCCTAATGCTCGGAAAGATTGAAGGCAAAAGAAGAAGGGGATGACAGAGAATGAGGTGGCTGGATGGAGTCACTAAAGCAATAAGCATGAGCTTAAATGGACTCTGGGGGATGGTAGAGGACAGGAAGGCATGGAGGAACGTTGTCCATGGGTCATGATGGGTCGAACACAACTTCACAACTAACAACAACGAATAGTAAAATTACCACACAGAACCACTATACAGACCACACACAATGCATCCCAGCAAGTGGACTTTATTGCCAGCATATAAGCTTATTCTTTAGCCTGTAAATTCTCAGTCATCCAGGTCATGGTTGTCCCAAAGGTGCTTTTTCTGGAGACAACTGGGCATCTTGTTTTTTTTTTTCTTGTCTTCTTCTTCTTCTTCAAATAAAAAACAAAACGTCCCGTTGCCTCCAGAAAAAGCACCTTTGGGACTGAACTCTTTAGCTTTCTTTCTTTCCTGCCCTTACGCCCCCGTTCGCCAGTGCCGTTGTGGATGCTGGGAGCTGTCCAAGGACCAGCGGTTCTGAAGGTAAGCGGAGAGTTTGAGTACCTGAGCACCGCAGGAAACTACAACTCCCGGCAAACAATTCCGAAAGGGAAAGGAGGGCAAAGGGGGAAAGATAGCGGATGGGAAGGTGAGGGCGTCCAATCCTGTCTGCTCCCTCTAGTGGGCGCAACTGAACTGGAAGGAGGGGGTGTGGGGGGGGGAGACGGGGAGGGGGGACGCACGGAGCGGGCGGCTTCGGCTCGGCTTGTCTGCAGCCGCACTCTGCCGTGAAGAGCTCCCCTGTTCCGTGCGCGCGCAGAGGCGGCTCCCTCGACCGGGCTGTGCAGACAGCGCCGAGCGAAGCGCTGCACCTGATCGCGCTTCGCCGAGAAGGAGAAAGAAAGAGAGGGAGAGAGAGCGAGACAGAGAAAGCGAGACACCGGCTGGGTTGGGCTGGGTTGGGCTGAGCTGAGCTGCGGAGAGACAAAAGAAGAGCCAGGCAGCCCCCTCGAGGTTCCCGCGGCTGCCATCACTCCGATTGCTCGCCGCACCCCTCGTTGGCGGACACTTGCTGCTGCTGGGGAAGGAGCGGGGAGGCTGTAACTGAAGGAAAACCCCCTCCCCCCAAAAAGCCCGTCAAACCACCCCCTTCACTCCATGGCCGAGCAGCCTTGAGGCGTGCGGCGGCGGCGCCTGGAGCTGGAGCCCCAAAGAGAAGCGCGCGAGCCCCCGCAGCCGCCCCCGCGGGCGCTTTCTCTGGATCTTCCGCGGGATTCTCGCCTCGGCGGCCGGGCGGCGCACGATGCGCCCTGCTGCACTCTTCTGATCGCCAGCCCCACCGCGATGATTTCTCCGGATCAGCAGCAGCAGCAGCAGCCCAACCATGTCGTGGCGACCATTGAAAATCTGCCTCCCGAGGGCATCGGCGGCGGTGGCGGCGGCCGGAGCTGCATCTCCGCCCCGCCTTCCTCCAGTGTGCGCCAGAAGATCCGTAAAGTGTTTAACAGGTGAGCTGGCTTGGAGGGTGCCGCACGCATCCCGGCCACAATAGTCCCCTCCGCAAAGGTCGCCTTTCTTGGAAGGGGAGCGAGAACGGCAGAAGGGGCCATTCAGACCCAGCATCCTAACAATGTGGGGTGCATGTGTATGTGTGTGCATTTTGACGATCTGTTAAAACGCTGATTCAAGCGCCCTGCGCCTTCCCTAATCCCTTCTCCACATCGGCTGGGTGGGTGGGGCTGAATCGGGCATTGTAAGAGAAGAGTACTCTGCACATGTTCGGAGTAGCCGGAGGTCGGCCCTGGCCTGAACTGGAAACGAATCGCAACCCTATAAAATTCTAGCCGAGTGCAAGCCCTAGTAGAAAACGCCCGCGGGGCACCAATGCATCCAACGGAGTTCCCACTGGAGGAGAAGAAGACTCAGGCTGGGTGCTTTTGTTTAAGAGTTTCTGTGGGCAGGGATGGTGTGACAGAAAGGGTCATCCATTTTCTTCAGCACGGTGGCTTTGATTAAAGAGCATCTGTCATGATGGAGGGTAGCTTGTTAAGTGGATCCTTCTGAAAACGCTAGCTAGTTGGTGCTTGGGGCTAGCTGGTGCTTGGGAAAGGGGCAAAATGGAAGCCTGATTTTTTGGAAGCAGCCTTAAAATAATACTGATCGCAGCCCACAGATACATCCTCACCAGAAGAAAATATGGGATGGCAGCAAAATCAATGTCCTGCCCTTTTCTTTTCTTTTCTTTTCTTTTTCAATCCTTCAACTCAGCTTAACACAATGGAAGAGTCCAAACGTTTTTACACTGTGGTAGATGTTTGGGGAAAACTAGCTTCTCTTCCTGCTTTTGTGTCTGTGTGCATCTTGCAAAGTGCAAGGGAAACTTGATCCAGATATCCTGAAGCAGGGCAGGAATGCAGACTGGAAAGGCTAACTCTTGCGGAGTTCCTTTCCTTGCATAGGGATGAAGGCAAAGCTTCTCTATTTATGACCAGAGTGTCTTCTTTTGATCCTGGCTGTGAGAAAAGATCACGTTTGGTTGGGGAAGTATAGCATTTGTGAGATGCTCAGGAATTTTGTTAAATCTCTAAGAAAAAGATCTTTTTAAGCAGCCTTTTCTACACTACCAGGAATCTTTTCTGTAGCTTAAGATGTGGATCTGGAATAATATAGCTTCATTTCCTTCTTTTCTTGTGAAAATCCTCAGCAGTGGGAAATGATTGTGCGGTGCCATTTCAGGTCTCTGGGGAAATCTCCAAGGAATTTATGCCCAGTTTGGATTATTTGAGACAGGAACATGAAGAGGGAAGGATTTGGAAACCCATCCAAGTTGATTAGATTTATTTCAATAGTATGCATTGTGGTTATTTTTAGTATTCTAAACAAATGAAGCTTTTTGCTTCCTGACACTTTCTTGGGACTCACATTAGTTCAAGTCTGCCTGTTCTTGAAAGAGGAAAATTCTCATTGTCAGAATGATCTGAATGTATAACATACAAAGAGAACATGTTGGTGAGGCAAAGTTAAGATTGCCTGGGCAGGTAACCAATAATAAATAAGGGAAAAATATGGGAAAGGAATTGCACAAATTTACAAAAGAATCTCTGTTTTAAGATCAATTGAGTTTAAAACTGTAATCTCTTTCAAATGGTAACTCCTCAGTTTATTTGTTCTATGTCTGATGGAGAAAATGAATAGATTATCTTGAATAATCTCCTTAATGGTATCTTCTTGTGTGACACACAGACTTTCTTGGGAATTCCTTGATTCTAGATTGAGGTAGGCAACCTTTTGATGGCCATGAGTGTCACCTAACATTTTGGGGGATTGGGCTGAGGATGTTGGAGTGGATGGGACCAATATCACATATGGATGAGGTGGAAACATTTGGGAGGAACATTCATTATTTGATCATTAAAGTGTACCATTTAGCTTTATTATAATTTCCATATTAAAATGGGACAAGACTATTTTAGGTAGCCATTGTTTCATGAAAAGTGAGCATATGGGCCTTGTATCCCCATTTGATGGGAAACCAAATACCTTCTTTTGTCTCAGAAATGGGCAACTTGTGATCCTGCACTATTGTTAGACTCTGGTTCTCTAAGTCCCAGTTTGTAAAGGCTGAAGCTGATGAATTGGGAGTCATTGATTGTCAGACCAGACAGGATTTTTATGTGAATGTAGAACACATGTTTATGACTTTAAGGCTGGGAATAAAGAATGGCCCAAAGTCTTTTAATTCAAAACAATTGAAGAAAAGCACCAGGTTTTAAAATTTGAGTCTCCCAACATATACTACTCTGTAGTAAGCAGATCTGTTACATCAGTGCCCCCACCCCTCCAAGCTTTTGGGCACCAGGGACCGGTTCTATGGAGAGAGTTTTTTCTGCAGACTGGAGGAGGCGTCGTTTCATGTGCTTTCTACATCCCACAGATGGGGCTTCACATGTTTGCGTGATCTGGTTTCTGGCATGCTGCGGACGGGTGTTAATCCATGGACCGGAGATTGGGGACCCATATGCTACATGTATAAGACTGCTATGAAGCAACTTATTTAGTCATGTTGAATCTATGAACATTCTGCTGTTTATGAATGTAGGATTCTGTTTCTGCAACATTTATATTTAGTACCATGCTGGGAGATGCCAGCCATAATAAGGCCAGTTATCTGGGATGGTGCAGTTGTAGTCCATTCCTTTGGAGGACTATCAGGGTTCAGTTCCACAAATCCTGACGAGGTTTGAAAAACCTGTTAGGCAAACCTGAAATAGGTGTGGGTTGGGGTTGAGTATGGTTCAGCATGTTGTCTTGATCAAGTCATTGCCTTAGCTTGTTGAATGAACTATCTCATCAAATGTTTGGACATAGCATGCTGTGTGTCCAGAGAATTATGTTTCTTTACCTGACTTTCAATTCAGTGTGCATGGCAAATTTGTTGTTTGTTTGTTTATTGTTGTTTATTAGTTTTGTATGCTGCTCACTCCCGAAGGATTCCGGGCGGCTCACAATAAATAGGGAACCTGGGCAAAGACCCCCCTGGTCACAGCCGACAAATGGTGATCTAAAGTCAGCTGTGGGTCCAGGAGGACTCCC